TACCAGTCAGTAAATGAGTCGCTACCCGTTCTGAACAGAGGACACAGACAGAGCGATGCGATCATAAAACGTCAGAAAAAACTCCATGAGAACGACACCGTCAGTGGCAGTTTACATTCAGAAATTGGAATGTATCCTCACTCAGAGGGAAAGAACAGGAGTTAGCTGACGAGGTTACCAACTTGACAGAGTAGGACTCTCGTCTACGACACGCAAAAGCTTTCGAATCCTGAACCTCTGCAGTAGAAGCTATTCTACTTAAATGTCGATAACACAACGCGCGATCAGGCGGTGTTGGTGTTCTGGTAGAACCCAACCTCGCTGACAGAATCAGTGATCGGAAGCCTGTCAGTGGAATGGTGGCAATCCTCTGACAGAAGCAACAACAGGCTAAAGTGTTGAACTTGCTACAGGTCAAGGCGCCCAATTTGGAGGGAGAATATGAGTCTTTCCTTGAGAAAGTAGAGTACGCTCTCTACGAAATGCCGACACTGAAATGGCGATATTAAAATGCGTGTGAACTGAAAAGTGGAAAGGAGTGATTGGAAAAAAAGGCCCTAGCAACCTCAACAATACTGACATGAAGTTGTAGCTGTATGTTGCAAACAACGGGCTGTATGCTAACACTAATTTCTAACATCGAAGCGTGAATCAGAATACTTGTAATAGAAAAGCTAGAACAAAGGAGACGATGATCGATTTGACCATCGTATTGTCTGACTTACTAAGCTCTGTAATGGATGTTCGCGTTAAGAGAGGCGCGTAGCTGTCAATCGATCCCCTGCTGCTGACGTGCTACGCTGTAAACGATGGATTGCGATGAGACGACCTAGCGGCAGAAGCAACTAGAGAATATAACGGGAAACATCATCTTCAGCGGATACGAAAACGAAACTTGCAAGCAACACCGCACGACGCTCTGAACAGATCCAGGCAATGACCGCTGAAGTGGAGACCGAGTGGGAACTTTCTGGAGCAGCGTGCTCGGGGCTATCACCGAATGGTGCGGATTTAAACGGGGTGGTATGCCACCTGAAGGGAAGAAAAAACTTGCCGGTGGACACGATAGATACAACTAACGCTCAGAGAGAACATGGCTTCATTCAAGTAATGCCTCGGAAACAAAGAGCTTTCAACTAACATCCGGTATGCAGAAGCGTGCAAGGCGGCAGCGAAAGCAGTGGCGAAATCCAAAGCTGATTTCTGGGAGAAGTTCGGTGAGGTGTTGGAGTCGAATTTCCACAAGGCAAACAAATTATTCTGGCAGACCATCCGCCGGCTCCGAGGTGAAAAGAAGGACAGTCTCAGAGTCTTGAAGGACATGTCTGGACACCCTCTTACCGAGGATGAAGACATTCTTCGGCGATGGAGAGAGTACTTTGAGAAACCCCATAATCCTGAGTAACCGCAAGAAGACTCGCTTGTAGACATCAAGGAACGGATATTGCTATTTCTGTAGATGAAACCACACAAGCTGTGAAAAGTTCGAAAAGTGGAAAGGCTGCTACAGTAAGCTCGAAGAAATAAGCGGACAAGCCGTGCTGGCTTATACGTGTCTGTCAAACTGCAATGGTTAAGAGCAAGACACTAGTCGACAGGCGAACGGGCGTTATATTACCCCTGTTCAAGAAGAGAGACCATCGGGAGTGCTTTACTTATCGAGGCATTACCTTACTCAGACTCCTGGGTGCTAGAAAGGAGGTGCTACCGAATAATTGACTCCAAAATACAAAAGCAGCGTGGCTTTCGGCCCGGCCGAAGCACAGCTGAACTGATAGTTTCCTTACGCCAGATTCTTGAAATCGTGGGAGTTGGCTTATCCGGTGCCCATATGCCTCGTAGTTCTAGACAAAGCCTATGATCAGATCCCGCGCAGACAGTCTGTGGGTATATTTGCGAACAAATTGGATCGATGGCCAGTTGCTACCCGACAACCAACCAGCATATGCTGACAGCAGGTGGCGCGTCAGAGTAAATAGCGTCGAGACCTTTCAGCGTTGCACCGGTCTCCGTCTACGGCTGCGTTCCGTCCCTCTTCTATTTGTGTTGTACATGGATAGAACAGTCAGGCGCACCTGAGGCGATGAGTGTATGAATGCAGGAGATACAGAAGGCTGTTGTTTGCGGACGACTGTGTTTTATTGGCATCTTCTGAAACTGATCTACAGTGCTCCCTAGAAACGTTGGCAGCCGAGTGCGACGTGACCGGCATGCATGAGAGCGCATCTAAAATAAAAAACCTAGTGCCTTCTCGTATTCCTGCCCACTGCTCTCATCAGATAAACGGAGAAGCAGTGTAGCAGGTGAAAAAAATCAATTACCTAGCGGTCATATTTACTGGCGAAGGAAAATATGAGATCGACCGGTGAATTGGAGTAGCTAGTGGCATTCTGCGTAAACCAGTCCAACCATTGTGACTAAGGCAGGGCTAATTCTGAAGACTAAGTTCTCGGTGTTCAAATCGATCTCCGTGCCCCTGCTTTTCTGTGGTCATGAGTCGTGGACTATGAACGTCGGTCTCGGGTACAAGGGGCTGAAATAGACCTTCTGAGATAGTCATTGGCCGTCCGCGTCTCTACATGTTCCAGAGTACAGAAATCCACGAAAGTCTTGGTGTACAGCCGCTGCTTCTTCAGATTGAGAAGTCACACCTGCGATTGTATGGGTATATGTTGCGAATGCTTCCAGAAAGGAAGGCGAAGCAACTACTGCTCACCCAACCGACCGACAGAAAACCTCAGGAACACATAAGATAAACGCTGGACAAGTGTATTGAAGGACTCTACTCTAAATTCCAATTTGTATTGTGCCGAAGCTCAGACACTGGCACATGATAGGGAACGCTGGGAGCAGTATCTCACGCGTCTGCCTCCGTGACCCAAAAACGAAGCGGTCCTGGAAGATGATGATTTAATTTGCAAATTTTGCAGCGATTTATAATTGACCAAATCAAAACAGATTGAAAGCCAAAACTTTAATTTAGAGGAAACGAGGGGCAGAATCACAGTTTATATATCTCACTTTTCCATGTTACACGGCTGGAAAAGTTTTTGGTCCTAAATATTCATCTCCTCCCTTAAAGATCTTCTGAGGTTTTTTCATGCTGTCTTCCAGCTGTCGCGCTAGAGAGATAACGGCTCTACAGAGAGGACCAGGTCGTAATCAGGTTGGCTGCTACCCACGAAAAAATGGGAAAGTCAGTGACATATTTCAGGAATGAATCCCTATGCTAAAGGTTCGAACGCACTCATCTGCGAGAGCCAGAAGAACGATGAGACTTGATGGTTGTACGCTATCCTGAATATGCTACGTCTTCCTTAAATACTCCTTGTGTGATGTTTAACCTTCAACCATACCGACATGAGTGATTCTATCAGGATTAATATCTGACATTTCAGGAGAAATACCGTTAGAGTCACTGAAATATGGCAACCCATTCTCCCCGTCAAGTGGCCTCCAAAAGAGCTCTGAAATATAATAAATCAACAATGTTCGGTTATTAGTACATCAAAAACGATCATTAAACATAACGCGATGGGAGGCTTATCAAGCTAAATGGATTCGATCTTTGAGAACATAATAAGAAAAATAATTCCTCCAGCAAGTTTGCATGGCATTAATGGGTCACCCTTTGTTCATAAAGGCCCAGGCCTATTTGATACTGTTCAAAACGGATGTCCAGAACACCGGCTCCTGAGATATCATGGGTAACGAGTACGGTAATATTTTAGGCAACAAAATAATGCGATAAGCATCCATGCACAGGGGATTCTACAATATCATGGATTCGTGAACTATCTAATTAGTCTCGGGCTTCCATAAACAAGTGTCAATCAGATGCTTTTAATTTGCTTATTATTCAGCTTAGAATCACACCGTATGACGTTGATTCATTTAACTACTTCTGCTGTTATATATGCAGTAAGACAACCGGCAAATAAGACTGCTTAATCTTCGAAAGCACGTACCGTGATCATTGGAAAGAGAATGTGATCCAAGTACAAAGGTAAAAGGATCAAAAATCCGCGGGATCCTGCTGTGGAAAGCGTATAGCATGTATGATTCTGTTCCGTCCATGCATTTGTTCCAGAAGCCAGACAGCGATTGGCCAGTATGTCCAGAATACCCTAAAAAATAACTGCACTAAACCAGTGAAATACACCAGCAAAAATGCTAAAAACGAAATGCATCAAAATGAAGCAACGACGATTCAAAACGTTTTATTGCAGAAAGCTATGCCTGGAAAGATGAGCAGTCCTGACGATCAGCATCAACTTAAGAAAATGGCTTAAATGAATAAAAAATGATAGTCCTTAAAGCCTTCAAATTAAATAATGCTATCGGAAAATAAACGCAGCATTTTAAAGAATGGCTTGGGCAACAGGTAGCGAGTAAAAATCATACGACAAATAGAATGCTTAAAAATTGCACAGAACACGGTTTATTAATAAACAAAGCAAAAAGTAATGTGATCAACCAGATGATTGACCAATACCGACGTTTCGGCTTATGTCCCACTAACTTTCTTCAAGGTAGAAAGTTGTTAAAATTTTGGAGGATTTTCTTATTATCCGTAATGGCTAGTAGAATTGAAGCCAGAAGGAGAACTTTTGGTCCATGTTGCTGGTTAAATAGATTCTGGGCGAAAAAGCTCATCCAATCCGCACAGAGTTCGTATCCTTTGTCACGGTTGACACTGTTGCAGACTGAATGATTAGTGCCACATTGACACGTCTGTGCAACCAGCGTCTTTCTTTGATGATGCCGATACAATGACCTTTGGAAGCGTGTCTATGAGGCGCTTGTGATGCTCATTCAGATATATTAGTCATATGACATTATGATGAATAGGCGAATTCCTTACTTGACTTAATTGATGTCGCAAAGGGTTACAACATGCTCGCATTTAATGTCAGTATTCGTCACTGCCTCTTAATCTGTGCAGTGTCTGCTCTGATCGCCATCCAATTCCTGAACTAGAACCAGTCTGCATTTTGTCGATAAGCGCGGTCTAGCACAGTCGTAGTCAGTTCGTCCGTGACGCTATCCAACCATTAGTTTTTTGATCCGCCTCGGTCTTTTCCAGCAGGAGCTCGGCACACTACCGACCATGTTGCAGAGCGTGGCCAGGGAGTGAATGCCGAGTTTACTTATTTCATCACAGAGCAAACTGATATCAGTCACTGTTTGATATATAACAGTTGCGGCTTTCTGGCATAGTCAAGTAATTTAGCATCCGCAATCTGATGATTAGATAAATCTGAAACCATCCAAAGTTGCTGTAGCAGTCACGATAAGATTCGGTATGCTTTTCTTCTCAAACCTGTGCACGAATATGGTAGGATTCCAAATGAACGGATATAAATGATACCGCAAAACTAATCACAAAAATGAATTAGCTAGATAACTGGCGTTCGATAAAATTATGAGCGATATCCTGGCTTTTGTTGAGTTTATCAGATCATAATTCATATTTACCCTAGCACGCATTAATCACGTCACTTTTTATTCCAGTTGTAGCGCTAAAACGTCCTATGACCGATACAGTTTTAATCGGGATATTTCTTTAGCATGGTAGCCTTGAAAGCCTGCTTCACACAACAATGTTAGATACAAGTTACCCAAAGTTTCAAATCA